GGAGAGGGAGGATGGTCCAGAAGATGGCATTGTGCCCACCTCTAGCATAGTGGGACTTTACTTCTAATGAGTGCCAGCAAGAAACCGGTTAGCACCTGAGCGCTGCAACCGCACAGGAGCAGAAAGGTACCCAGACACGACCCAGTGCTCATCGTATTACAGTTAACATTGTGGTTTAGGCGTCCCTTTATGGGTCTTTCTGTGTGCATCATGGGTAAGGACATTGACAAAGGGGACCAAACGTGACTAAGCACTCCAGGGACAAGAGCTGTCAGTCAATCAAAAGACCACCTCTAGGCGAGGGTATAAGAGAAAGGGGAGGCCAGAACTGTCACTTTTCCTCCCTTGGATCAGCCTGCCTCCCGTTCTTGGAGGTGTACTTTTCCTTTTTTTAAATAAATCTTTTAAAATCTGTCACTACACAACGCACCATCTCCCTACTTATCTTTCGGGTATGACAAGAACAGAGGTCTTTACCTTTTGGGGTAACAGTCCTGGAACCTTTGTTTAAAGCAATTTCCTGACCTCACCTCTGGTGGATGCTTTTTTTAAATGAGCATGTACATGACAAAAATCTAATGTGGTTTATATGGGGAGTTCTTTGCAAAAAAAAAAAAAATCAGAAGAGCAATACACCACTAGACAAATGAGCAAAGGACTGGAGCAGTTTTAACAGAGGAAATACAAATAGTCAATAAATATATAAGAAAAGAAAATGAAAGTCTGTATTAATAGCCTAGTATAATCCAAAAGCAACAAAGTAACTTTCCTCCAAACAGGTTAATTTTAAAATGATAGTATCTGGTGTTAGAAAGGGGATAAGGAAATTGGTTTCATACACTATCAATAAGAATATTGATTGCTAATCACTTTTCTCAAATAGAGCTTTACAGAATGTGTCAAAACTTCAAAATCTTCTCTCACTTTCTAATAATTTAATTCTAAGAAAGCCCAGATGTTTACATAGCTACCAGACTATTCATTGCATCATGTACCTGCCCAAAAAAAGATGCAATCTGAATCTACAACAGTTGTGAATTTCTTAACTGCATCAAGGTACAGCAACGTGATGCAGCTATTAAAAATTAGATTTTAGAGCAGTGACTTTCATCTTTTTTTTTAATTGCCACCCACAGTTGACATAGCAATACATATACATTTGTGAGTGTGTGTGTATGTTTATGTGTGTAAGATTAAAATAACATTTCAGAAACAATACATTCCCTTACTATGTGCAGTGCATTCTGATATTTTTTATCTATTCTATAATGTTTAATTTTTTTCTTAATGTTGGTAGCAAATCTTTCTAAATTGATTTCCTTTCCCACCGATGTGATGAATTTGAACAGAATATTATTTTAGAAGAAACATATGTTACATGGGTAATTGATCAAAATATGATCATTTTAAGAAGCATGTTACTCATAATAAGCCATAATACTATGCACAGTATAATTTCAGTTTTGTAAAAAAAAAAATAAAAAACATATTTTGCATAGAAAGTAGAAGGATACATTAGTATGAAAATAATTGTATTTTGGGTAGTTTTTATTTCTTCTTTATATTTTTTCTATGTTTTCTTCATTTTCCCTAGTGGATATACAGTATTTTTATTTTAGGGAAATATTTTAAACTAAGGAAATGAAAGTATTTGGCTTTACTTGTTCTTCCTCAGACCACACAGGAAGCTAGCAATAAGTGCTGAAATATAAACATGTTCATTAACCATCCCTTTTTAATACATAATAACAGAATTTTTCCAGTGCTCAACATTAAATACGCCAGCCTCCAAGCCAGCCACAGAATCCCCTTCCTTTCTTCCTGTTTCCCTTCCTTCCTTCCTCCTTTTCTTCCTTTCTTTTTCTTTCTTTTTTCCTTTCTTTCTTAAATTTCAATAATTTGAGTTTATCTAGCTTTCTCGGAGCTCACACTCCTCAGTTTTGCTAAAATTATATACTATGTTTTAATAAACTCACCTGCAAATTAACCTAGGAGAACTGGTTTCATTTAAAGCAGGGAAGATCTTTCCAAACACCTAGCCTAGTTCAATTCTCTCTTTTTTTTAATTGAAATATAGTCAGTTTATGATTTGTGTCCATTTCTGGTGTACAGCATAATAGTTCATTCATATATATACATACATACACTCATTTTTATATTCTTTTTCATTATAGGTTACTTCAGGATGTTGAATATAGTTCCCTGTGTTATACAGCAGAAACTTATTTTTTATCTATTTTGTATGTACTAGTTAGTATCTGCAAATCTCGAACTCCCAATTTATCCCTTCACACCCCTTCCCCCCCGGTAACCATAAGTTTGTTTTCTATGTCTATGAGTCTGTTTCTGTTTTGTAAATAAGTTCATTTGTCTTTTTTTTTTTTTTTTAGATTCCAGATATAAGTGATATGTTATTTTTCTTTCTCTTTCTAGCTTACTTCACTTAGAATGACAATCTCCAGGTCCATCAATTCCTTCTTAACATATTCCCAGTTAGTTTTCTTGACAGAAACAACCAGGGCAAAATAAGAGTTGAAAAGACCCAAATTCTGTCAGTTCATTAGTTAAAATTTAATATTTATGATATATTTGATGAGTGCATATCACACAAGTGTTTCATTGTGTGGCTATTTTAAGATGTACATCCGTATTCTCCCCTTTCTGTTCATTTGTGTTTCTATTACCACAAACCCCAGGTTTACTGTAGGCCTGTATTTCTCCATTGACTTCCATGAGTGCGTGTTTTTTTCATTATCTCCTGAGACAACAGCTTATCAGGCTAAACTTGTACCTCACCTCATACCAGGCCAAATATTAATAGCTAGAAGGATATTTGAAAAGAAAAAAAGTAGACAGAGAACCATGTTACTATTTATTACCTTTACAAAGATGACAGTAGTCTCCACCCATCCAAATGAAAAATGACTATGAGTTGCAAACAGCTTCCTACTTCAATAAAACTGTTTTGTTTATCCTCCCAGTAGTTTCAACCAAATTACAGTAATCTGTAGTTTTAAAAGAAATAGTTTTATATTAGCACCTTTCCCCTCCTCCTCAACTATGTAAGATTCATTATTATGCTTCAACCAATACGTGGTTTTCTCCATCCCTCAAGTGGCATTAGAAACAATAAACACTTTTTTAAAATACATTACTCAGCCTCAGAACGTATATATATGCACACCTGTATCCATTTATGTTAATAGCACAAGAGAAGACCGTAGGAAATACAGAAAATAATACAGTCTTCAAGTCTAGAAAAGTCATTTTTTTTTATTCCAGCATTATTTGATTAGCCTATTGCCCGGTTTGAAGTGTAAAAGCAGTATAATTTCAGCTTTCAATTCATGAGAAATGTTCTGCTCTTCTCAGAGTCAGAATAGTGCCTTTGGGTGTCAGCGTCCTAATGAGAAAGCATGTAACAGTAATAAAAATAATGGTAATCATATGATAAGGTCATTCATTGCTAGCATAAACTGAGGACACAGAATGTTCTAAGAATAGTTTTAAGTCACTCACTTGTATTATTCTTCACAAAAAGCTTTAAAAATAGGTACTATTATTATCCGCATTTTATGAATGAGGAAATAATCACAGAAGTGGTGGCAAAGAAGAAACAAAGCAAATTTTGTTTATAAGACCAGTGGAAAGTAGGGTGTCCTGTTAAAAATCTGCATTTTCTTTCATTATTTTTCTCTCCATAAAGTGATTAGAGCTGAACTAAGTGAGAAAGACCTTTGCTAAAGTTTGGATCTTCTACTATCGGTTGCTGAAAGCTAAGTTTTGGACCCTTTTCCCCAATTAAAAGAGAATAGTACTTGGTTTTCATTATTGCTGTTCAAAGTGTACAAAAAGGCCCTTGTCAGTTACTGCACAGTATGTAAGGCAAGCCAGATTTTTAAATTATTAATCATTTCTTAAATATATTGTTCTTTTCCCAAAATGTGGCCGTGAGTGATGATAGCGCTCCCAACACCACACCAGCCCTCAGTCAAACCCCGAGCCACATTAGGTAGTAAATCAAGACTGTTGCTGTGACTGATGTATTACTAAAATACTATATTTCTCCAAAAAATCTTCTGACTTTCCCTTATTATTTTATCCTCTGAGAAGTACAAGTTCCACCCAATAAGTCAACCATCTATTTTTATACTAAAACATAGACAGTGAGGGATGAAACAGAAAAAAACCAATTGACAGCCTGCTATTCTGCTCAGAAATTTTGAAGTTCTTCCCTCTCTAGAGTACTTGCAATTTACAGTTTGGGCAATCAAGATTTCCAGAAAACGACTATGTATTCTAGGTATTAATACAGCATGTAGAATCAGAATATATGGGATTTGTCTGGGCTGGGGTTGGAGGAAATCAGGGGGGAAAGGAAAAAGCTGTCTACAGTTTGAAGTAGAGAGCAAATAGACTTTTGTCTTTAGATGTCTAATTGGCACCATTTTTTTGCCATTACTTTATAGGAGAGGGGACAAACTTAATCTTGAGTTTCCAGCTATCTCACCCTCAAAAAATAATTTTATTTAATTAAATCATGCCCTCTGCATATCTAGATATTTATAAATGGAATACTAATTCCAGCAATTGAACAAGAATGCATTCACATTGCTGTCTTTCAGAGCAGCTCCCTAAGGTTTGTTGTAACACGTCTATAACCAGTTGCAAACCTAGGTGTTGCATCATTGCTAAGCCTCAGTGGAACATTTTGGACATGTTTTCTGATTTGCTGATTTGTGCTGTGAACCATCAGTCTGTTTGCAGTGGGGAGGAAGTGGGTGGGAGGGGTGGGAGGATGGAGGGAGTATCATTTTGTTCAATGTGTGGGTGGAGGGACGGAGGGAACTTGGTCATGAAGCTTGAACTAAGATGTACCTAAAGGGTTTCATTTTGACCTTTGCACAAAATCAGCTGCAATAAGTAGATGTTGCTCATAAGCAGGTTTTCAGTGACCATATTGTTTTCTTTTTTTTTCCTTGTTTATATCTTTTTCTCAGGGGAAATCTCTCACGTCAAAGAGGTTAACAAGCCTCGTTCAATCTTATTAAAAGGATCGTCTTGTAGCATGAGAGCGAACTGGAGTCATTGCATATACTTTGTAGTTCTTTGTCGTTACCTGGAGCAGAGGACGTTAGACTAAGATCTTGCATGAGCAAAGGACTTGAATTGTTCTTTCTGTGTGTACATTACGGCATTGCCATCTCCAAGGGACTCTGCCATCTTGATGCCTCCATTTCAAAATGTCTGCTAACTTCCTCCTTGTACTGAGCTGGATCTGTGTCTTTTCCTTTTTAACAATTCAAGTGAAGTAAACCTTTTTCCCCCCTTTCTCTCCTTCCCTTAAAGCTTCTTCTAGACACACAGTTCACTAGAAATTCAGTCAGTCACGAACTGGAAGAATTGTAAAAGGAAAAAAAAACATATATCAATAAGTATACATATGGCTTCACATTTATTAAATAAGAAATTAGCACAGAAAGTTCATTTCACCAATATATCACAGTCAAAAACAAGCTCATGTCTTTGTTGCCTTTACATTCTCGGTTAATGTTCTTGCATTTATTTTTATACCATATTTAAATAAGAGACACCTTTTACTCCAAATGTATTAAAGTTGACCCCTTCTCTGTAAATTTGTGTATGTTTATATTGTTGTTTTATCTTTCATTAAAAGATGCATAATCTCGTTGCTTTTGTAACTGTTGACTTCTGTGCTAACTGAGAACGAGAATGCTGAGCAGGCATCGGCAAATGTGGTCCCAAGGTAAGCGCTCCCCCTGGGAGTTTATTTCAGGGTTTCAAGACCAGCTTGGATGCTGCAGCAGCCAGCAGCAGACTGAAAGGGATTCATCCGGGAGCCCACCTGGCATCAGACAGATCCCTTTGCTCCCGTGAAAAACAACACAAATTGGCTTCCACGTTTTCAGAGCTATTTATGACGTCTACGTAGGCAAAGGATCTTCCAACAAAAGTCCGTGCCTTCAAGACTGGGGGAGGTAGCTGTTTTCACCTAATTCATACAGTCAAGCATATGAGTCAAAACAAATGAGGAGACTGAGAAGTATGTTCCGAACAAAACAAGATAAAAACCCCAGGAAAATAAAAACCTAGTGAAACAAGCTATTTACCGCATAAAGAGTGAAGAGTAATGGTCCTATAGTAATCAAAAGTGTATGTTCTTACAAAAAATCAGTGAAAAAGGATGGAGAGCCCAGAAATAAACCCACACTTATATGGTCAGTTAATTTGTGACGATGGAGACAAGAATATACAGGGAGAAAAGACAGCCTTTCAATTAATGATGCGGGGAAAACTAAAATGCTGCATGCAAAAGAATAAAACTAGACTGTTTTCTTACACCATGTATAAAAACAAATTCAAAATGCTTTAAAAACCTGAATGAAAAACGTGAAACCATAAAACTCTGAGAAGACATAGGTAGCATGCTGTTTGATACTGGTCTTAGCAATAGTTTTTTTTTGGATATGTCTCCTCAGGCAAAGGCAACAATAAATAAAGCAAAAATAAGCAGGTGGGACTACATCAAACTCAAAAGCTTTTTCACAGCGAAAGAAACCATCAACAAAATAAAAAGGCAACCTACTGATGGGAGAAAACATTTGCAAGTGATGTGACTGTAAGGGGTTAATATCCAAAATATTTAAACAGCTCATACAGCTCAGTATCAAAAAGAGCAAACAATCTGATCTTTTTAAATAGAGAACTTGAATAAACATTTTTCCAAAGAAGACTTAGGGATGGCCAACAGGCACATGAAAAGATGCTCAGCATCTCAACACCACAGTGAGAGAGCACCTCACACCTGTCAGGCTGTATCAGAAAAAAAAGACAGTATCAAGTGTTGACATGTGGAGAAAAGGGAACCCCTCTGCACTCTTGTGGGAATGTGAATGGTTACAGCCACCATGAAAAATAGTATAAAGCTGCCTTAAAAATTTAACAATGGGACTGCTATACAACCCAATAATTCCACTCTTGGGCATTTACCAGAAGAAGACGTTTATTTATTAGACAATTAGGGGTCAGAAATGTTGTAGATCTTAATGTGCATTATTAGGCACAGGGTTAGTGAAAAAAACATTCCAAACTAAATTAGTAATGATGAAATTAACTAAATTAATAATTATGAAGTTAATTTAAAAGTTTTTAAAGCCAAAATGGACTGGGACAGTGATAACCATACCTTGTCCTGAGCACTGCGGAGTCTCAGAGATGGTGCATCAGGAGGTAAATATCAACCCAACCCTGAACTCTACCAATACGATCATCTAAGTCTAGTGGATTTTCAGTACCAGCGCTTAGCACACAAAAAATAAAAACCTGTGTAACGTTATCCTATTTCCAACAAGAACCAGGGAGAGAACTTGCATTTTGGTGTCAGTTTGAAGTTCATCAGAGATGATCTTTTTATCCACCAAATGGGCAAACGAGATCTTCTACAAGCCCATTACACAGAGATTTGGGGAAGAGGATATGAGTGGCTGAGCTGAACCCACTTTATATTTCACTGTTACTACCTTATATTTCACTGTTATCACTAGGATAACTCATTCAAGTAACAGACAATCAGTTTGAGGACTTTTGGTCCATTTATACTTTCCCCAGGATTTGCTATTTCCTTTGGTCATTAGCAAATCACGCCCACCCACTTAAACGTCCTTCACTGCAGGCCCAGCTCCGCGGGCGCCATGAAGCCCTTCTGGATTTCCCTCACTGAAATCATCATCTCCTCTGCAGAACGCTCAAGCTCATTTTTGCTCTTCTACTCTTAGACATATAATGAGTATATTTTTAGAAATGAAAAATCATCAAGAAGTTTCTCTAGCATATAAATGTGTTTATGTGCAAATCCATGCTGACTAATACACTTAAGTTTATTTTGCTTGTGATGTGTTCTAAAAGCCAGTTCAATCCCTTAGGAAATAAGGTTCCTAAAACTAAACAACAATCCACATATAAAATAAATCTTACAGAGGTATAATAATACTTTGCATGTAGTTATGCATTTAATACGTTTCTGTTACCTGAAATTTGAGACTGTCCTGGAAAAAAGTAGACGATACCCCAGTTATCTATGTGGCCACGTTTTATACTGCATGAGTTGTGTTCATATCTATTCTTCCCTTCCAGATTCTCAGCAAATTACCTTTAATTCTGACCATTCTAATAGGAGTCCAAATGGGCAGTTTGACCTTAACAAATGATTTTCCTGACATTCAGAGAATTCGCTCAAGACTAATTAGCAAGTCAGGATTTTAATGGAAGCGATCTACCCCAAAGCCTGTCATTTCACTACCCTACAAAGTTTTGCTTGAGTGACTTTGAGAAGGTTCTCCAACTACGAAATTAAGATCCCTTCATGTCACAGTAGAAGAATTTACCTTTGAGTGAAGGCATGGTCTTGGGGAGTTGAGCCTGCCAACTGTTTCAAATTCTGAGGGTGTTCCCTTGGCCACTGTCATTAAGATACATTGTGCTATACCAGGAACGTCTCCCTCTCCTGTTTGCTTTGCAAACCATTGACGAATGCTTGTCTAATCTGATTAATCAAATTGTTTATAAAGTATAATGGGATCCCCCAGATTATCTTGGGCTGACTAGATGTTGGATCTTGAGCAGTTAATTTCTTACCTACAGGTATGTATTTCCTTCTCCTTAAGGTGTGGGTAATTGGAATAGATACTCTAAGATTCCTTCACCAGAACGCCAGAGAGGTATTTCCTAGGATTACTTTTTGGAGTTTTGAGAACAGGATGAAATACAAAGAGAGAATCATCAGAATAATATTGCTTTTTAAGAGATAACGTTATAACTGCTTTAAAATGTACTGTGTGGGATTCTATTGTTGTAATGGTTAAATCTGCACTCTGAAATGCACTATAAATTTGGGTATGACTGTCCAAAAATAAGAGTAAATTATATTTTTGACTCACGAATTATAAACCTATGTAGGACAGAAAATGAAGTGAAATGAATAAATTTCACATCAAATTTATCTTCTGTCTTGGTAACACTCTTTTAAACCCTAGGAACTTAATTTATAAAACATAATGTTCTTCCTCTGTGTGCCTTGGTACCTTTATTCTTGCCACAGAAGTCTCTCTTCTGTGGTTCATTCTCCTCATTCTCCAATATTGAGATGACTTTTTTTGAACTAGGCACTAAAGTTGCTAAGCAACAGCATTATGTTACGATGTCAGCCTACCCTCTGAACCCATTTTTTAACCAGCCCCTTCGTGATTCCAAATTCACATGCCCACCACCCTGGTTCAGGATCCCAGTGCAATTAAAGAAAAAGAAGAAATTTTTTATTCCAGAAGCCTTGATATCTAAGAGCTATAGAGTTTGATGACTTTTTTCTTTTTTTTTTTTAGATACAGCTTCTAATTGTCACTGCAGTCAGACTATTCTCTGAGCCTGGTCTTTCGTCTCCATTTGATTTATTAGGACTTTCCCATTGTCTTTATTCCTCAGTGTAACTCGAGTCCATGGACAAGTATGTGTCAGCCTCATTATCACATGGGGTGCAGAGACAGCAGAATCTGTCCTCAAGTTTCATCTTTGAAGAAAACCAATTAATACTGGCATGAAACATAGACTTGCAAATGTGAATAAAATTAATCCCCAATAGAAATGTGACCCTCATGAAACAGTTGTCAAAGTCACTGAAACTTCTTCATAAAAACGATAAAAAATAAATGTGGTCTCTGAGTCCTGGGTGAAACTTTACAGTCTTTTTAAAGTATTAGCAAGTCTGACATCTAGTGGTCAATTGGTGTTTCTAAACTATCTAAAGGAGACAAGAGTTCAAGCGAATTGTGATGGAAGTGTACAGACGTCATAAGCACACACATCTGACTGATGGAGTCAGTGCAACAGAATTAAAAGCTAAAGAATGGAAAATTATGAAGGTTACTCCGATATTTGCTATACCTGTCTATGATCAGATGACTTAAGTGGCTGTGGACTCAGAGACATGAGTTCCAGGCAACCACTTCACCAGGAAAAGGGAGACAGAGAAAAGAAAAGGTACATGGAATAGTACGTGTTTCTTGATAACAGTAATAACTATTTTACCTGATACTGTATGACAGGTCTTGTGCTAAATGCTGCAAACATCACTGTTTTCTCAGCGACCTTGAAAAATGAATAATGTGAAACTCACGCTGGATGAAACTGAGAGGCTAAGTGACTTACTGAGCTGCCCACATTCTTAGAACAAAAGTTAGTAGAGGTAAATCCTTTCCCTTCCAGCTCGGCTACAATAGCCCAGCACATCGTCATGGGCAGAAAGAGCGAGTAAGAGTAATTGTTCCTGTCTGATTATGGGGTAATTAAAGGACAATAATATCCTATTATTACTTAATATCAATAATACTGTTAATTAATATTACTAAAATAAATAATATTATTGTTATTATCCATAAATTGAAGACAACTAAAAGAAAAAGTAACCCTCGGTCTTAATACAGAATCTTAAATTTTATTTACTAATCAATTAGCTTATGTGTTTGAATTATTTTTAAAATTTGAAACTTTCCCACCCAGTTTTATTGATATAATTGACATATAACATTGGATTAATTTTAGGTGTACAACATGATGTTTTGATGTATAGATATATATGTTTGATGTACATAAATATGTTTTGATATATGTATGTATCTC